GAGAGAGAGAGAGACAATAGGCGCGCACCGTTCGGGCCTCCAGCTTCTAAAACGCATAATTCCCGGCGCATTTGCGAAACCTCAGGTGAAAACCTCACAGAGACCTAAAGAGATCTCTTTCCGCTAATTTAGCGGAAAATCGTTGCACGCGAGCATCAGCCGACTTTATAAATCGCTAATAAATTGCATGCTGCATGACAATGTATTACAATATATTTCTGCAACAACACAATATATGCGTTACGTATACGATTACTTAATTATAATTACGGCATAATTTTTCGCACGATGGATCACGGTGCTGTACACCAAGTGTGAAACCAAGTGCGGGGTAGAAATTCATTTTTCCCGTTCAAATTCGGATGTTTCGTTGATGTATGCATCTACTGCATGAAATAATTATCTCGTCATCCTCGTATTCTCGGAAAATCAGCCAACTGCCTTCATCAATTTCCGAACTGCACCTTCATCGATTGCGTAGCCCGACAGCACGGGTCAGTCAGGCTACCGTTTTAATATTTAACAATCGCGGCAAGGCCACCGTGTTATTTAATATTTTCGAATACGCCGCTGCTGAAAGTGGGAGGATCGTGGTGTATTACACGAAGAGTAATTCCTTCCTGCCAGCCTCTCTCAAAGGTTTCGCCATGTGTCATGTACGTCTGTGTACGGTACTGTGTATTACCGAATATACGCGATTAAAATATTACATCGGTTCCTGTCGATAGTAATTGATGCCGATGAGCCTGCGCGGAACCGCCGGTCGTTATTCAATGTCCGCGTGTTATTCATCTGTCCGTCATTCATCCGAGAGACGATACGCGAATGGGAGTGCCGACTGACGGACGGCGAAAATCATTTCCCCGATTGCCAATTCCACAGATGCTGACTTTATAAGAATGTTAACAAGAATTAACTCCGTGCGCGTGGCAAAGGTCTTTCAGCCGATCGTATCGGACAATGACAGAGTTATATTTATACGGCTTACGTAATTGTACAGCTTTACATAAAAATTTGTTTGCTTTTTGTTATACTTTCTGTACGTTGCGAAAGTTCTGCTATCGACTTTATATAAATTTTTGCAGCGTGTTGCAGAAAAGAAGAGAGAGGAAAACGCAATAAAACCGAGGCGTATAAATCAATTCCGAGCTGAGCACGTATCGATAGACGCATTTATCTCGTTCTCGCAAAAAAAAAAAAGAGAGGGCAGAGTACGGAATTACGGAGCAAGTAATTCAGCCTCCACGTGAGCTTAGCAACCGGGTCACGGCAATGCAAGGTTGCGCGAATAATTTCTTTTCTTTTTAACGCGCGTCGCGTTTTGTGCGAGTCTGTTAATTCAAGGATAAATGAAACATATTTTTTTACATTAAGAATGTTACGATAAAAAGAATAAATTATCGCTTTCTTCGAAAATATTCATGAAATATAATAAGTATTTTTATAAAGAACTCGATTTTTTTTAACTAGTCGATATATATTTTAATGATTTCTAATTAAATTTAGAAAAATCGCACGTGATCGATCGAAGAATCTACAATTGAGAGAAGTGTCGTAATATTTAAATCATCTATATAAATTTACAGTAGTTTTATAAATACATATTCAAGATACTAATAGTCAGCTTGCCGGATGAATAGTTATCGTCGCTCCTGCAGTGCAATTTGTATCTATATAGTTTGAATTTTTACACCTGTCTAATTGGCACGAGTAGTTGTTAAGTAAGTGCTTATGTAAGGTTCTGATGTCTAATCAATATTTCATGTTGCATACGCTGAATAGGTAATTAAAGGATAATTAAACTAATCATTCAAAAGTAATAGAATGCTTAATAACGGCGACGTGTGCCACCATAATATCGCCATATATATTGCAGATATAAAAAAATTTTCTCTATGACAAAACGGTTAAAATCCATATAAACTTGAGCAAAACTCCGACGCGAGTTTATCGATAATATTCTCTGTGTTGCGTGTAAAACATAACAAACATTAGCGCGACTAATAAATAGCGATCGCCATTTAGAGGAAAGACGAGTTAGTTTTGTCCCGCGAGACGACTTACCTCGAACACACCTGATGTAATTGTTGAACTCCTTTTGCAGTCTATTGGCGGAGTTCTGCTGCCTCGTGAAGTTCTGCAGGTGCTCGTCGAATATGTCGTCCGCGGTTCGATCGACCTTGCCCAGATTCTGAAGGAACTGCAACGAGAGAGAGAGAGAGAGAGAGATGCATCATCAATTTTTGATCACTTGTCTTTACATATTAATCATTGTCTACGCTGATCCAAAATCTATAAAATTAATACACAAATGATAATTTTATTTATAAAAATTATATATGCAATAATAACTATTTAAAATAATAAAATAATAAATATTTTATATATGCGCTAAATAAAGAATATATAATATTTGTAATTAACATATAAAACAGAGATTTTAAGAGAAACATATAAAAGAGCGAAACCTTTAATATTTCTACAATAATGGCGTATAAAGTCGATAAAACACGCTCGTGATTTATTAAATCCGTCCATATTCATATAATTGAAAAGCCTTCCTGAAATTGAATAAAGCTCAAGTATGCATATGTGAACTTTCGCGTGTAGGTTTCTTCCCACAAATGTTAGTCAAATGTAAGTGTAAAATATTACCATGTAAGATGCTCAACTTTTCAATCTCAATATTTTCAAAAATTTCATCACTTTCCACTGATCAAATTTAACTACTGAAACAATTTTGAAAACATGATTTTCCTACACGTTTTATCTTTTTACATTTCAATTCGTTTCTATATCCATTGTTAGCTCTTTCGAAGTAATAATGTCATTTTTTTTAGACATAATCGATCAGATATACTCGAACATTGATATAATTTCAACTCGAATATAACGGTTCAAGAATCGAAGATTTGAAGTTAAATAAACGCTAAATTAAACGCTGGGGATTTAATTTTTAATATTAAATACCTAATAAATCCTTAACCTTTTTGTTAAAATGGCTTTTATTTTTATGAAACAATTTATACGTCGATATTTATTATTATGAAAATGATTTCAGCTTGCAACGAATAAAAGCTTCACGCTTCATCATTATCGAATGCCATGTATGTACATTTCTCGTGGTTGACTACAACAATGCGGGTGAACGTATGACGTATCGCAAATGAGGCCTTTGAACCGCGTTCGTCACGAAACGATAAACACCGCCTGCATTATCATCGCATCGTGTGGAAGATCTGTGATAATCGCCTACTGTCTTACCGCACCCTTTATTCAAACTTTAATTAATGTTACCTCGCGGATGTTACGTGCATTAAAACGCCGAAATTAGAGAACATCAAGCGCATAGAGATCCCGAGTAATAAAATATTTCACTACACTTCATAAATTTATTTATGAAACACATAACGTATGCTTGAATCTTTATTAATTCGCTCGTAAAAATAGAAGATGCTAATATGGATATAAATAAAAACAACGATACAAATTTGTCGAATGTGCGAAAGTGGTTTGCATTCGCGTTACTTTCTCTCAATCTCTTCTGCCATAAGTTAATAAAGAAAATCTATCAGAAATCCTCCGTACGCCATTGCCATTGTTATCGGCAATAAGGCGCGACGTTGTGAAAGGATGCGGATGATGTAACAATAGCTATCGACCGCGGAGAAATTTCACGCCGGAATACCATTCCCCTATTTGATTTTGATTTTCATTTCAGCTCCGTGGCATCTGTTCAATCTTCAATGAGGAAAAAGAAGAGAGTTGCCCCTTCGGGAAATTATCTAAAGGGGATGCGCAATCAGGAAACTCCCAGAAATTCGATCGATCCGTATAAATTTCGAATCAAATTGTGATATCTAAAATGTAATCTATATAGAAAAGTATTTGAGATTGGGTTTATCAAATTGTAAGATCATATCTCATATAAAGGTATCCTACATTCAAGATTAAATCTATTTGAACTCACATTACTTTATTGATATTTATTGATATTATTGATATTAAATTTATTTGAAATTAGATAATATATCATTTCATCAATTAACTTCATATTTTTCAATATCGCCAGAATTTTAGAGATAACCCAGTATTTTATTTAAAAAAAAAAAATAATTTTTATAGAGAACTCTAAAGTCGACAGAAACTTTTTTATTCCTCACGTTCAATGCTAAATATTCTTTATTTTAACGTGACACAAAAGTAGTTTGACATTTCAAGGATCAGGGGGAGGGGGAAGGGGGTGGGGGGTCAGTTGGTGGAACGCAGAGAGGTATACGCTGCTGGCGCCCATGTCGACCATCTCTCTTGGGCTGGGTCAGAAATCAAAGGCTGGAACGTCCGTGGCGATGGAAATCGCGAGTCGGCCATTGCATAACCACCATCTATCGCCGACTGACTCCGTTCGCGAAGCCAGTGATCTATGCCGCGGAGGCGAGAGGTACGCCGACCTTCTGCTATATGCACGCGTCGCACGTCTCTCCTCTCGTCCCGTCTCCGGGGGGGAAAACGGGGGGAACGGAGGAGATCGCGCGTTGTACCATCCAGGTAATTTCCGTTCTCCAGCTTCCCGCGAATTAATCGCCGTCGCTTACATCGCGGCCCGGCTCTTGTAACGCCAGCGAGACGGAACGACGACACACTCGTCGAACTAGTTCAGGCCCTCGTCACTTTAACCTTCCGTCATCCGACACCGACCTCGAACGGGCATTATCGCAAATTTGCAAATTGCAGATGGTTAACGTACAACACGCTGAAGTATCGCGCGCGAGATAAACCTACGTTCGGAATGGTACGTACGGGATGATTAAATAACTCGGAAATTTTATGAATTTAATCGCAGCGCTAAGTGTACGTACGAAAGAGAGATTAGACCCTGTCTTTTCCTCTGAGAAAGTATATCGATATCGATTATCAAATTGCATAAATCGTAAACGGATACTGTTTTCTTTTTTTATTTATCTGACCTATCGCGATTAAAAAAAAATCGCCATATGGTTCGTGACGTAACTCCTGGAACTGATATATAGAGAAATGGATATATGTTATGTTAAATATCATCTTTATCGTACGTATGAGTCTTTATGGACCTCAATATCTACAGATATAATTTATTGCAGTCATCAATAGCGTAAAAAGATGCAGATATTACGCATATCTGGAAATGACATCGCAGTTGCGACATTAATTATAGAATTCCCACTTTAATTACGTTTTATTCGCTGAAAAGATCTAATAAAACGCATATGTCGCGTCCGGTATTTCTCCTGTTATCAGAGGCATAAACGTTTAGATTAATTCTTTCAGCGGTTTCTATGGCGTTATTAAAGTCGGTTAACCCGCGCAATGTGATGCTATTTATCGTGCGGCTTATACCAATAGAACGGCCATCTATAAGGAAATTATATTTAGAAGCACAAAACACAGATTTCAAGATAGAAAATTGCAAAGCGGCCTGACAATAATTTTTCTGGCTTTAAATGATGAGATGATAGCGTAATGTTATATCGCTTTGTTGAAATTATACATAATTAACGAGACATAAGGTATAAGATAAAGTTGCAATTTTAATATATATTAATTTAATATAATTAATCGCAACATAGGCTGTCTTGCAAGACTCAAGTGTCTAAGAATGAGAGATTAATCCTATTAACTCGCTCATGCACTTTCAGGTCAAGATCATCCTGTCTGCCATATATAATTTCCTCGCAACTTTAAAGGTACTGTTCATTACTGCGATTTCTGTCTCGCTCTATAAAATTAAGATCAGCGGTGGAAAAATTAAGAATTTTTTCTTTAATTTAAATAAAAATATGATTATATCGCATATACAGCATATATAGGAATAAATTAAACACACAAACATTCGAACATTAAAACATTGTATTTAGATCAACCATTATCTGAAGGACTATGTATTTAGATCAATCAGAGTCCGAAGGTTTCTTTTAAGTTATCGGAGGTGTCAAGTGATACTATATATAATATTTAAAGAGAAAGGAGTTCAGAGTAATGCAATATTAAAATGTTTGTTGTTTTCGATATATAATACAATCCTTTATGAATCACCGTGATTGTCGAGAACGTACTCTCATCGCGAGATAAGCCACGGGCAAGTCCGTATATTAGCGGGACAGCAAAAATAAGCATTATCAGGGTGAGTCACGCGGCGATACTGCGAAAAATTTTGCCCCACAAGTTGCATTTGTAGACGCGGCAAATATAAGCAGATATACCACATCCTATTGGCTATACGGTATATCGGCTGTACCGTTACGCATCGTGATACTTGTTTCGCGAAATATTTGTTTTATGAAAGAACGAACGAGAAATGTAAACTTGTTATGCAAAAAGATAGCGTGTAGCTTCGATACGCCAAACTATTTTGTATCAATCTAAAAATCCAGGCGAAATTTACGTATATTTTTTTCCAACGTGTTTTTCGCGCGAGAATCATTCAAGTTCGACGAAAGTCGTACATCTTGTGAAATCGATCACGATACCACAACCCTTATAAGCTGTGATTAACACGTGTAACCTGACTCTGATTTGATTGGCAGGTATTGATAGATTACGTTAAGCATCGCGCTCGACAAGACCTACTGCACTATTGTGCGATGTTTTTACCAGTCCGAGAAAGACACAAGACACGATTTTTGTCACGAGCGCCTTCGTACCGTTATTCGGTTAACATAGTCTCCGTTCGACATCTTGTAGCAGGTGAGAAGGCTGAACCCGTTTACACGCGTAACTGACTTGTATATGTTATTGCATATTCGCGTACACGATTTGCGATACGTAATAGTTACGGACAGTACAAGTTCTGTCAATCATGTATCTGTCATTAGAACACCTGTTAAGTTCTGCAAATTTCATAAATTTTACACGGAAAGAACGGTTTTGCTAAAGCATCACACATTTGGCCAGACAAAATAATTTTATTGGACCATCAAAATTGCCATTATTATCATGTGAACAAAAAAAAAGACAATAATACTGCAAATTTTTTTAAATACTTTAGCAAGCAATTTGAACATCCTACATAATTATTTTCAGATTTATGTCCAATCAAGTTTTCAGATATTTCAGGAACGTTATTCTTTTCGTGAAAAACTTACATAACTTATTTTATATTTTATTTTAATAAACTATACATGTATTCGATATTAAATTATCATAAAATCCTTCTTTAACGAT